CACACACACACACACACACACAGAACAGGAGCTGCAGCAGTACAGTAAGTACAGTACAGTTTATCTATCTGTCTGTCAATCTGTCTCTGTCTAACTTTATCTATCTATCTATCTATCTATCTATCTATCTATCTATCTATCTATCTATCTATCTATCTATCTATCTATCTATCTATCTATCTATCTATCTATCTATCTATCTATCTATCCCTCTGTCTGTCTGTCCGTCTCTCTCTCTCTCACTCTCACTCTCTCTCTCTCTCTCTTTCTCTTTCTCTCTCTCTGTCTGTCTGTCAATCTCTCTGTCGTTGGTTGGTCAGTCTGTTTGTCTATTCAACTGTCTAACTTAACAAGGCAAGGCAAGTTTTTTTATATAGCACATTTCATATGCATTCAAAGTGTATGAGTGTGTGTGTGTGTGTGTGTGTGGATGTTTCCCAGAGATGGATTGCAGCTGGAAGGGCATCTGCTGCGTAAAAACTTGCTGGGTAAGTTGGCGGTTCATTCCGCTGTGGCGACCCTGGATTAATAAAGGGACTAAGCCGTCAAGAAAATGAATGAATAATAATAATAATGAGTCTTTTATATCATATAACCTATCATCATAGGTGCCTTCCTAAATAATATTCGTTCATTTCTGGGATATTACGATTACTATTAAACATAAAGACTAAGCAAAGCAAAATATATAGACAATTAATTTCCACCACAGTCATTTGCCCTAAAAATACTAACAAATACACAAAAGTGATTGGAAATTACATTTGCTATTAAATATGAAAGGCTAAGCAAAGCAATATATATATAGACAGTTAATTGCCACCACAGTCTTTTTGTCCTAAAAATAAGGAACAAATACAAAAAAAGTTAAAGTAAATTACATTTGCTATTAAACATGAGACTAAGCAAAGCAAAATATATAGCCAAGTAATTTCCTCCACAGTCATTTTGTCCTGAAAATACTAACAAATACACAAAAGTGATTGGAAATTATATTTACTATTAAACATAAAGGCTAAGCAAAGCAAAATATATAGCCAATTTCCACCATCGTCATTTTGTCCCAAAAATACGAACAAATACAAAGAAAGATAAAGTAAATTACATTTGCTATTAAACATAAAGGCCAAGCAAAGCAAAATATATAGCCAAGTAATTTCCTACACAGTCATTTTATCCTGAGAAAAACTCACAAATACAAAAAAGTTTGATTATAAATGAAATTTACTATTAAACATAAAGGCTAAGCTAAGCAAAACATATAGCCAAGTAATTTCCACCACAGTCATTTTGTCCCAAAAATACTAACAAATATAAAAAAAGTGATTGGAAATTACATTTGCTATTAATTATGAAGGCTAAGCAAAGCAAAAGATATAGTTAAGTAACTTCCACCACAGTCTTTTTGTCCTAAAAAAAATACCAACAAATACACAAAAAGTGTGATTGGAAATTACATTTACCAGAAAAAAAGCACCAAAAATAGCGTGCATCTGCAGTGTTGTGTGGTGTTTCCCTAAGCTGAATGAGTGTGTGTTGAATAGTGAAGCTCATGTGCAGCTGCGCTCGGCCTGATGCTGACAGTAATCAAAGCCTGATTGTTCGTCTCACAGCCGTTCAGCACATCTGAGTCGACTTCTGACAAACCCTCACACACACATACACACACACTGTTGCTTAGTAACCCGAGCACATGGCTGACCTTATACGTGTGGTCATAAAAATGTATGAAGTGTCTTTATTTATTCCTCGATTTTGTTTCGTTCTCTGTCTCACTTTGGTCAGTTTTGTTTCGCCACTGACAGGATGACTCTGAATCATTATCTGGGTCAAGGAATCAAAAGAGATTTCCAGCATTACAAAAGTTCAATGCTGCTTTTTCGTTCTCGTACAGTGTTTTGTTTTTGTTCTTTTTTTCAAAACAAAAATAATATATTTTCAATATTATTTATGCAGAACCGTCGCGCAGTGGGTAGCACAATCGCCTCACAGCAAGAAGGTTGCTGGTTCGAGCCTTGGCTGAGTCAGTCAGCGTTTCTGTGTGGAGTTTGCATGTTCCTTCTGTGTTTGTGTGGGTTTCCTCCGGGTGCTCCGGTTTCCCCCACAGTCCAAAGACATGCAGGTACAGGCTAAATTGTCCTTAGTATATGAGTGTGAATGAGTATGTATGGATGTTTCCCAGAGATGGGTTGCAGCTGGAAGGGCATCCGCTGCGTAAAAACACACTGGATAAGTTGGCGGTTCATTCCACTGTGGCGACTCCAGATTAATAAAGGGACTAAGCCGACAAGAAAATGAATAAATGGATAATACTAATAATGATAATAATAATAATAATAATAATTCTGATAATAATAATTATAATAATAATACTGATTATAATAATGATAATAATAATAATACTGATAATAATAATGATGATGATAATTATAATAATACTGATAATAATAATAATAATGATAATAATGATGATAATAATACTAATAATGATAATTTTAATAATAATAATAATACTAATAATAATAATAATAATAATAATAATAATACTGATAATAATGATAATGATGATAATAATACTAATAATGATAATTTAATAATAATAATAATACTGATAATAATGATAATGATGATAATAATAATGATAATTTTAATAATAATAATAATAATAATAATAATAATAATACTGATAATAATAATAATAATAATAATAATTAAAATGATAATAATAATGATAATAATACTAATAATGATAATTTTAATAATAATAATGATAATACTGATGATAATAATAATAATAATACTGATAATAATAATAATAATAATAATAATAATAATAATAATTAAAATGATGATAATACTAATAATGATAATTTTAATAATAATAATAATAATAATAATACTGATGATGATAATAATAATAATAATAATAATAATAATAATAATAATAATAATAATACAGATAATGATAATAATAATACTTAGAATAATAATAATAATAATATTATTAATAATAAT